TGTCAACGCTGCGAAATCGGTTTAGTGCGTTTACATGTCGATAAGTGATTGGAGCGTTTGCAAAACATTTTATTTCACATAATGCGTCTAAATTTATCAGAAAGCAACTTATGTGATATTTTAATAACAATGTGTATATGACTATTAACCATAATAAGAGAGTAATGACCATTTTACAATTTATATATCACATTAATATGAAACTGCAATAGAGCAATTGTTTGTGATAGAAACCTAGGCATTAGGTCGGGGAATTTTTATCGTGATGACGTGCACGCCACTTTGTTTGGCGTTGACTATACTTTTGGCATCACAGATATAAAATATGATCGCATTACTTAAAAACAATGTTTTGTGTTAGTAACAGTTTCAAGCGTACGAAGTTGCGGGTAACAGCTAGTGCAAAATAAACCATGTCGCTTGACGGTCATGGATTGAGTGGGGCGATGGATGGCCGGGCTGTTGCCGGCTTGACGTTGACATTGGAGATTTTGGGTCTTTCCACCTATATTGCAAAATCGACGATAGGTTCACGGATAAAACCATGCCTCTAACCTCCCTCGGGTATCAATTATTAGTAAGGCGCTTCAAAATTTCCCGACGTACTCCAGACTGTGATTTGTCTCTGTACCAAATTTCATTCAAATCCATTCAGCTATTTTGGCGTAATTGAGCGAAAAACTTCTCATAACGTATTCTTCTTGAATATAGCCAACCGTATACTACATTCCAGCGTTCAAAACAGGATCTGAAAGATATTAGCGCCATATATGAGACAGCAGCAGACCAGTAAAATGAATTTAAGAATCTACTTTGAAAGGAGTTACAGTGTTTAGTTATGCTAGTGACTTATAGATGGCGCTAGGATCAGCAAACCCTTATGGGCGCCTATTTCAATTAAGTATCTTCAGATGAAATATGTTAATCAATGACTAGCCTAACCTTAGGCAGTTTAAGAATAGGTTTAGCAAGGCGTCTTTAAGCTCTTTATAGCAGTCGTGGTGCCTCGGTATTGAGATTTCCGCCTACGTGACTACAGCAGTGTAAAAAAATAACAGTTTTGGCAAAGCGGATATTCCAGCCGAAGTGGTCGCGGCGCGCACTTATTGCTTACTCGCGGCGGGCACAGCTACCTGGCGGTCGAGATCCAGCTCCCTAGTAATGAGGGGAGGACTTAGCTCTCATTCATGACTGTTTCGTGTTCAACTTTGATAAGTATTCTCTAGTTTTTTAAAATTGGCCTATCAAGCTCGTCCAGCATTTTCCAAATTTGGCTGAATTTTTTTGTCTGTAACTAGTAGTACAGATTAAGTTATGATTATGTGTCAAAAGGATTTTGGCAAAATTACGAAGAATAACACGATAGTATGTGATAACTTCGAAATATCGCTTTAACGCGTTTACACGCTGTTTTTAATGCCACATTCACCTTATCTTCGAATTCCTGTAACGGGTACGTGCAGTTGGCGCCTCCACCTTTTTTGAAGATTGTATTTATATTCAGTAGTAACCCATCCACCACATTTTAAACTAGAGCACGGTCACAGTTTGTTATAAATGTTCCTTGGGGATTAAGTGCCGTTTGAGGAATGATCTCTCCTTGCATTTCAAACAAACAACGTTGAAAGAACGATTTAATATTTGCATTTCACAGAAGGCTGTAACAGTTATCATCACGGGCTGTATTCGATGTCAAAAAGATTTTTCTTTTTATCGAGCATTTTGATGGAGTTTTGGACGGTTTGGTTTTTTTGTGCTTCACCTGATATTCTCATTGTATAAACTCTTGTAATTTTATATCAAGCACAGATTTTTAAAATAGAGAATCTACCTGTTACCCATTATTAAAAAATAAAAACATATTGTGAGTAAACAGTTAAAGCCAGTATTGCTATACCGATTGCCTATATTTAATCTAGTCCACTCTGTTATAAAATCACTAGTCGCAATAAAACCAAGGAAACGAACCCTTTTCATTACTATTACTTAGTAACATGTAGCACAACAACCTAAATCGCCCAAATTTATTTTAAAATGCTAAGAAGATATGGCCAGCAAAGACAAATCTTTTTGACATCGATGACGATCTGTAATGACAACTGAAATTCAAATGCTAATCAATCATTAATAAATGTTTATAAATTGTGACCCGATGTCAAGCATTTTTATAGTCTGGCACCAAAACGGAAGAGAGTAGCATAATGCATCGTACACCACTGCTAACGCGGGGTGTTTTTTAATACGACTTTGGGATCCTCGCACGCCGAATTGCTGAACTTAGCAGTGGCGTACGATGTATTATTTTACCCTCTTCTAGGGATATGTAAGGAATATTCGCATTTTCGCATTCGCATATTTTTATGTTTCTTGAGATTCGCACTCGCCTCCGCAGTCGCAAAATTCAAGCGAATATTTTGATAATACATATTTATATATACAGGGTGTTCCATAATTATTGCGACAAAATGATAGGGGTTGTAGAGGGCATAAAAATATGCAATTTTGCCTTATAAACCCCTGTTCGTAAATATGCCGTTTGAGCACTACCGCTAATTTTACCTTAAGAGCTCATAGGAGAAACAAAAAATTCACCAGCTGCAAAATCTTCGTCTAGCACATTTCATGGTCTCGCCGGTTTGTAAAAAAAGCCTGCTGTGTTTACATTTTTGTTATCGTAAATTCTCCACAGCGATTCATTTAATTTATCTGAGTGGTGCGTCAAACTAGATAGTAAATAACAGTACCTTAGTGTTAAAATGCAGCGTTATTCGTATGCGGAACTTGCGGATATGCATTTAATTTACGAAGAAGCTGGTGGTAACGGAAGACGAGCCTCGCGAATCTACGCCCAACGGTTTTCAGAACGTCCTCATCCGCATCACGCCATTTTTGCAAGGATTCATGGAGTTGAGGCAACCAAACTTTGGTCGCTACGTTTTGTTCACTGACGAGTCCTGTTTTACAAAGGACGGTTATTTTAATAGCCGTAACAGTCACATTTGGGATGAAGAAAACCCTCATGCCATAGCCATCCATAGAGACCAACATCAGTTTTCAATTAACATCTGGTACGGCATTGTGGACGAGCATATCATCGGGCCATATTTGCTTCCACCACGTTTGGATGGGCATGCTTATGGTCGATTCTTACAGAATGTGCTACCGGAACTATTAGAAAATGTGCCACTGAACATAAGAGCCAACATGTGGTTTAAACACGATGGCGCTCCAGCCCACTTTTCTTTACAAGTGCGGCAGTATTTGGACGACAAATTTCCAAATAGGAGGATAGGTCGAGGTGACCCTGTGCCTTGGCCTGCGAGGTCACCCGACCTGACCCCACTGGATTATTTTCTCTGGGGCCATCTGAAAGCTTTAGTGTACGAAACTCCTGTTCCCAACCAACAAGAGCTACTGGGAAGAATGATGGCCGCGTCCGCACATGTTCAGGACATACCAGTGGTATGCCACAGAGTTCGCCGATCATTGAACAATCGTGCACAGCTGTGTATTGAGCAAGGTGGAGGACACTTTGAGCAATTACTGTAGGTAAGCTGTTTCAAGAAACTGATCTTTTTTTTTGTTGCAGCCCAAACGGCATATTTCCGAACAGGGGTTTATAAGGCAAAATTGTTCATTTTGATGCCCTCTACAACACCTATCACTTTGTCGCAATAATTATGGAACACCCTGTATATATATATATATATATATATATAGAAGGACATTCAAAAACAAACAAAAACTATTTTTCAATAAACGTATTTCCTTAGGCCAGCAGGAGTATTACGTATCTTGAAAAGTGAGATTATTTTAGTTTTTTCACATTATGTAAGTTTTTTGTGACTTTATGTAGGTTTTTCCACAATATGTCAACTTAGCACGAGCTGTTGTTCACGTACATAGCTGTACGTGTTGCCTAAACGTCATGATGCTGCAGCTATCAATTTTTGGGTGCTCTGATGTGATGAAACATCTGCTTCGGAGATGGAATTATTGGAGTTCTAAGCTGTAAGTTGCATACTATAGCTGGAAGGAAACGAAACGACAGTGCATAAGTGCATAGTAAGGATTTGTGTGCTAATAATCTGTGTTGGTGATGATTCCATCGGTTTCTTGTCTCAAATTCACTTACTTGAGAAGTACGTAAAGCTATGAAGAAATTATGGTACATACAGGAATTCTTATGAAATATAAAAAGTTATTACAATTCACGTTAATTTTTAGTTCCTGTCATTTAAATTTTATAGAAATTACGATGTCAAGTAGAAAATAGAAATCAGCGCCTAGATGGTGGCAGTGCAAGTGATGCGTCATTCCTAATTTTTCTGTGATGTGGTCTAATTGCACACTACGCGGGTGCGGTGCTGATTTCCCGTAATGCTTTTATAACTTTGAACATAACCTCTCTTCAGAAAGGGCAACACAAATACACATGTAAACCAATACACAATCATCCAAATGAGATCCTGCTACTCTGCTACTCAACCACACATCTTCTCAGAGTAAAGTCCACAGACTATCTCGACATTCTGCAACCAACAAAGCATGACGGCTTGCAGCTTGTAGCAAGGTCATTGAACGTGTCATGTTGTCGAGTCATTTCTCCATAATGGACGCTCACAGCGAGCAAACTAGAAACTATCTAGGCTTTTTCAATCACAGGTTAATTGCAGTTGTTTCATTGTCAGGTTTGCCCTTAACTGTACTTAACTTTAACACTGCGATGTGTAACCTGTTTTGCTTTATAATTACGAATGACACGTGTCACGAATCTCGAGCGTCACGAAACGCATACGTAGAAGCAGCGTTGCCGCATCAACGATTGCAGGTGTGGTCCACATAATATCGATGACAGATGTTCGCATTCGCATTCTTGAATATCGACGACAGATGTACGCATTCCCAAATAATCGCATTCGCGAATATCGATGGTATGATCGCATTCGCGGATATTGACGGCAGATATTCGCATTCGCTAATATCGATGACAGATGTACGCATTCGCATTCGTGAATATCGTCTACAGATTTAACGCATTCCCACATTTTCGCATTCGCGAATATCGCTGACATGTTCGCATTCGTGAATATCGATGACAGATGTACGCATTCGCAGATATTCACATCCTTGAATGTCGATGACATGTTCTCATTCGCGGATATTGGCGGCAGATATTCGCATTCGCTAATATCGATGACAGATGTTCGCATTCGCATTCGTGAATATCATCGACAGATGTACGCATTCCCACATATTCGCATTCGCGAATATCGATGACATGATTGCATTCGCGGATATTGGCGGCAGATATTCGCATTCGCTAATATCGATGACAGATGTTCGCATTCGCATTCGTGAATATCGTCGACAGATGTACGCATTCCCACATATTCGCATTCGCGAATATCGATGACATGTTCGCATTCGCGGATATTGGCGGCAGATATTCCCATTCGCTAATCTCGATGACATATGTTCGCATTCCCATTCGTGAATATCGACGGCAGATGCATTCGCAGATATTCGCTTTCGCGAATATCGATGACATGGTAGCATTCGAGGATATCGGCGGTAGATATTCGCATTCGTGAATATCGATGACAGATGTTCGCATTCCTGGATATCGACGACAGATGTACGCATTCCCACATGTTCGCTTTCGCGGATATTGGCGGCATATATTCGCATTCACTAATCTCGGTGACAAATTAATTCGTGAATATCGACGACATATGTTGGCATCCGCGAATATACATAGATGACATGTTCGCATTCATGAATATCGATGACAGATGTACGCATTCGCAGATATTCACATCCTTTAATGTCGATGACATGTTCTCATTCGCGGATATTGGCGGCAGATATTCGCATTCGCTAATATCGATGACGTATGTTCGCATTCGTGAATAGCATCAACAGATGTGGTCATTCGCAGATATTTGCATCCACGACATCATGTTTTCTTTCGCGCATATAGATGACATGTTCGCATTCCGCAGATATCGGCGACAGATATTCACATTCACTAACATCGATGACAGATGTGCGCATTCGCAGATATTCGCATTCGTGAATATCGACGACAGATTTGCACAATCGCAGATATTTGCGTCAGCGAATATCGACTACATATGTTTTCATTCGCGAATATAAATGACATGTTCACATTTGCGGATATCGGCGGGGGATACTCGAATGCGTTAATATCGATGACATATGTTCGAGTTCGTGAATATCAACTACAGATGTACGCATTCGTAGATATTCGTATTCGTGAATATCGACGACAGATGTACGCATTCGCAGATATTCCCAATCGTGAATATCGATGACGGTAGATATTCGCATTTGCTAATATCGAAGACTGATGTTCGCATTTGTGAATGTTGACGACATTCGTTAAACCACTACTCTTTCATTTTGGTACCAGAGTATGATAGAGAATATAATAGTCAAGAATACAGAATTCGGGAATAAGGGTAGCTCACTGAGGGCAGTGTATATTTGATGCTGTCACAGTGTGGCTACTCATATAAACGAATTTTTACTCCACGATAACTTTCAAGATTAGAAGATTTATGACATCACATGTACACCTGTTTATTTTAGTTCCGCTATCGTCTAATAGATGACGCACCAGTGATTGGTAATTAGTAAGATTTTACGAGTGCAGTATTATTAGGAATTTCATGTTCTAAAGGTCTGAATCTTTTGTCGAGGTCAAATTGTTATACATTTTTGATTGAAGTTATTCGATCAGACAATTACTGTTTATTTTTTCATCTACAGTCCGATAGATGGCGCTGCATATCACTAAACATCACAAAGTCCACCATTTTGAATGACTACCTGGGGTTGCCGAAACTAGGTCAGTAAACTTTGATGCATGTGAGGGGGAGGGCGCTTTGTTTTTCAACAAGGCTAAGGTACCACGTAATATTGGTGTCAAATAATCCAAAGAAATATTTTTTCATCAAAAAATTATTATTCAGCTACTCTCCAATAGATGACGCTGCATATCGGTAGCCACCACAAGGTCCATCGTTTTGAATGACTACCTTGGGCTGCTGAAATTGGTTCAGTAAGCCCGAATGCATGAGAGGAGGAGGGCGCTTTTTTTCAACTATTAGCTAAATCAGTACGCAATATTAGATATAAACTAACAAACTCTTTTCGCCACAAAAATGGGGGGATTTTAACCCCCCTCACGAAAATTAAAGTTTCTTGATCTTGGGAGACGCGTTGCCATATAGCCGTCCCGATCCCCGACCAGCCTCCCCTTATAGATTCATTTGACTAGTTAAATTTTGTGTAGCTTGTGATAGCACTTTACATACAAACTCCATCTATGAGACGGTAGCCCAACAAAATATTAAACAAAATGTTTAGTTTGAAAGTATACCTTTAGGTCAGTTCTTGAAAATATAATTCGACATCGTTTTAAGCTCATTCTACTCTAATCTCAGCTATTCTCCATTAGATGGCGCTGCTTATCCATATCCATCACAAGGTCCACCCTTTTGAATCACTATCTGGGGTCACGAAGTTATGTTCAGTAAACCTCGATGAACGTGGTGGGGAGGACGCTTTATTTTTTAACAAAGCGAAAGCAATACCTAATATTGCTATCTAATGGGATATTATCTTTCGTCAAAAAACGGGAACAGCAATCACAATTTGATATTTAAAAAATTTATTCGTTTAGCAATGATTTACCTAGAACATACATAGATAAATACAATTATTTACAACTCAATATAGTATATATAATACAAACTCTTGTAGTCTTTACAAATAAAAAACTACGATTTTATTTTTAACTGGTATGTAGCTATGAAGGTATAACCCAGAAGTCTAACCATCCTTAAAAAATTCTAAACTCTAATTATGGTACTGTAAATGCCAATGTTCTTCTCTCAACGTAAAATGAATATGACATGCAGAAAAAAAATAATTTACGTGAAATTTCAAAACTGTAGGTACTGCATACAAAGTGATATATTATCCAAATAAATTTGTGCAGCTTCACTCCAGCTCAAGTGAAGCATATTCTTCAGGAGAAACTTGTGTCATCATTAGGTTGCCATCTGGCAACATTACCACCACCTTATGGGTACCACCTGTAATTAAAAAAATCATATCATATTTGAACTTTATAAATGATATCTGTTGTAAATTATCAATCATTGATCAGACTGTTTTGCAAAAATAACCTATCGAAATATGTAATGTATTGCGTTGCGGTCATCAAAAAATTGGAAGCACCTAAAAAATAAAATGACATGTTGATTCAACCGTCAACACCAGAGAATGCAATGCAAAGCTTAGAATCTGTACTTCGAACTTTCAGAGAATTTATAATCATCCTCGGGCATCTGAAAGACATATAGAGGATGATTTAAAAACATTGCCAATATTTATAGAGTAGAAAACACATTCAAAAGTAACATAAGTCTAAAACATAAAGTTCTATGCCACTGATGTGACATCGTATTTTTAAACTAGAAATGACTTATTAACTAGATTTCTAAAAGATACAAAAAAAACAGTCTGCAGTGAGTATGACCCCTCAAATGTTAAAACCCATCAAGTCATTTGGGATATAGCTCGTGAAATAGAAATTTCAAAGATGAAGTTTGCCACAATTCCGATTTTATAAAATATTAGTACACCCAGTGACAATTGTACTGTTACGACACAGCTAGAGGCCCCTCATATGTCAAAATCCATCAACCACTTGAAATGTAGTTCGTGAAATTTCAGAACTGCAATTTTTGATTAAAATCCGCCATTCCGATTTTAGAAAATTGTAATATATCCAGTGTCGCTTGCACTGCTAAGACGAATCGAACACATCATGTGTCAAAATCCATCTAGCCAAAAACATAACCCCCTTTCTGAGGCAGCTGGGTAAAAATACAATAGATGTATCAGAAAAGTCAGAGTCGTAGAAAATAATTTTCTATACTCTCCGGAGGTCAAAATTTTCCATTTTTCACGCCACTGCTGTGGTCTGAGTTACAAAAATGTTTGCTTCTACTACATGTAAGAAATTTTAAACCTTCATCCGCTCTGAAGATATATTTTTTTCGTCTTCAAAATTATAAAACTTCAACAAAATGTACATCAATAATAGTCTAATGATATTAGCAAATTTGCCTGAAATAGTTGTAAAGTTTGGTTTTATTGATGCAAGTTGTTGAAGGAGGAGGCATTTAAAAAATGGAAGCATAAAATGGGTACATCAATTTTTGTGGGAAATATTTTCATTCAACAACAAAGAATGAGAAAATGCGTTATTTGCGATTCAATCAAGTGTTGACAGGGACGAAAATGTCATTTGAACGCACCTTGTATATTTGCTCAATAAACTAATAATGAAGAAAATAGGTGGTTTGAGATACAAAATTAGAAATTCTCAAAAACAACTTCACCAATAGACTCCAATTTTGTTGTGATCATTAAGAAGTATGAAGCTTACGGATGTGAGGAATTTCGAATATCTTCTCAACAATATCGTCGCATTACCAACGAGTGCCAAAACTTGCATTTTGACTAGGTTTTAGGCCATAACTGTTTAGCTATTAGTCGCATCTTTTTATGTGTGGTCTCGTTTTGTAGGTCTCGTAAATACCTAAAAATCTTATCTGAAGAGTTTTTGTCTCTTCCAACACTTTTGATGTAATCCCATTCTTTTTGTTGAATGAAAAACTTTACCAAAAACATTGGAGTACTCATTTTAACTTGCAACAATAAAAAAAGCTTCACAATTATATCGCAAACCAGGGGAATTTCCGTCTAATATGATTATACTATAAGGGCGCATTTTTGGACCCATGTTTTGGTGTGATTTTTGTATTTAAATTCCACCCTGTTTTGCACAGCCGTGAAGTAACAGTCAATAAACTAAGCCCTGTGACAGAACCAGCTGTTTCTGTCTTGTATCAGCTCCCTAAATAGGTATGTTTAGCCACGCAAAACGCATCACGAAACTAAACATTTCAAAAAAAAATATGAGAAAACTTTTTCTTCTCCAAATAATACCAACCTGGACTAGGCGGTTCTGTCCTGACCACCTGCGCGACCACTTGGTCGTTGCCATCAGCATCGCCTTCAGCAGTATCCTCTCCAATGACTCCTTCATGCCCAGTGTTGATCGAAAGCGGTTCCGTGACGTCCGTCGTCGTGGTACCACCTACGTCCGGCATAGACA